TTTTATTTTATTTTCTTCATTAATACTTTTAATTGATTATAAATTTTTGTAGCATTGTAGTCAATTAAATTTTTAAAAAATATTACTCATCAATGATATATATATATATAATTGATTAGTAGTATTTCGAGCTAAAACGAGTCGAACACAAACGAACAAATATTGGTTTTTATTGTTCGTGTTCGGCTCGTTTGTTCAAGAACAACGAACTGTTTTGACAGCCCTACCAATTGCATTATAAAATGGACTGTCCTACAAAGAAATCAAATAAATAGAAGAAGACAAAATAAAAGAATATAAAACTAAATAAGAGCCTCAAAATAAAACATAAGAACTACCAGATGCTGACCCAGCAAAATCTCTTATAGAGGCTCCGTTTAGACCAATCTGATTCAAGTAGGGAACTCCTAAGTCCAAACAGCAAGGACAGGCTCGAGAAAACCAGCCATCAGCCAAGGCCGCAACATAACAATTCAATGCCAAGAGTGATTGAAAATTCACAACCCTTAAAGATAATGCCCCAGAGAAATGAACCGAGTAGCGCCAGCAAAAAGATATGTCTCAGATCGTGGCAGCCATAAAATAACATCATTAGCTTGAAAATATGCTAGCATTGCTCTATTAGAATAATACTGTTCTCTTAATTTCTCATCAATTTATTTTTTAAACTGCGTTGAAAATGCTCTCAGAATAACACTCGATGGAAGTTTCATGGGCATGACCAGACCTATATCTATATCTTAAAAAATATATTATTTAATTAAGTTGAATCAACTAATTATAAATAAATGAAGGTCACTGTGTGCCCTGCGCTAGCTCTTAATTGGGCCCATTTAACAGATGGGTCTGAACACTTACAGACTTTTCACTATTGCAGGCCTTTGTGGGAATCAAATGGGCCCACAGGCTTCGGTGACTGAATTTTTATTATGGGTTTCTCATTCGATGCGTCCATTGAAACTAAATAGATAAATAATCTCAAAATCTGGAACATTAATTTCTTTAGCGAATGTATCATAAAGAGATGAATAAAGTGCTATATAAATTTCAAAATATTAGATATAAGAATGGTGGAAATTTTGAGCAATGTCTAAGTAAAAAGAATTTATGATTTGATTATAAATGAGCAAAAGATAATTATAATTGATATTGAATGAACATGGAATCCATTATAAATGACTGTTGGAAAGCAAATGATTTGACTAGATTAGTAATTACATATTTGTAAGAAGTTTTTTTTTTTATTATTAGATTCATATAATAGCACCCATGTTATTTTGAATCCATAGTTATTAGAATGACATTAGAAAATTACAGGAGAACATGTATTTTGTGATCAATATAATGGATACAATCGGTTGCAATCCATCCCGAGTTACTTGATACTCCCAATAAAAGTACTTGCACCTCATCTGGTCGAGGAAGCCACTGACGACCTAAGCACGCTAAACAACCACTTAACTAGAAATTTATGATAGGTCAACCACGTTGGAGAAGCACGCGGACTTCTCCTCAGAACATGCAAATAATGCAGTGGTCCTTTGTTATTATGGAGGGCATATAAATTATCATTTGGGTTATGTCCATAATATGTAACTGTTTTAAAACCGGCCTAAAGGTCATACAAGAAAGTAGAAAGTAAGTTTGAAAATTTTTGAATCTTTTAATCCTAAATTTTAATTTATCTTGAAATTTTTATTAGAATTTTTATAGAAAATTTTGCAATTTTAAGGTCCTAAAGAGCCTAAAGTGCAATTCTCATAACACCTCAGATACAACCATAAGCTCAATCATGCAATCATGCAAAAAATGCAGTAAAATAAGCCAACTAAAATAATAAAAAAAGCTTAATGCCCCTAGGTCGGCGACATATCCAAAAAAAAAAAAGATGACCATGATCCACATATGCATGATTGATCCTATTTTTATACATAAATAAAGTTTAGAATTATGGTATATAACACGAGCAAATAGTTTCTAGTCGCCATCAAGTGATTCTATCCATCTAGGGCCTCAAAACCATTGCCCATACCTTATTTGTAATACAGGCTCTTCATAGCACTCTGAAAAGTAAATTAGAAAAGATAAAAAATGAGTCAACCTGCACGAAGACAATGTCAATGGGAAAGCCAAAAAAGCATGCAACGTATCTGAGTCATGCTTGGTGGGGGAGCTAAGTAGCGCATGCGCAAAATGATTAATAATAATTATTACATTGCTCCTTTTTTATTGTACCAGTCTGTGTGCATGTATATGACATAACCTCTTACAAAAGACCACCCTAATATACTTCCATGCATATCAAAACAGACACACACAAGCATACCTAAAAGCACAAAAGTGACACATGGCTAGAATAATAGCCACAAACGTCGAAAATACCACATAGCACTCTAGTCCTAGCCTAACATACCATATAAAGAGAAGTGTCCTAACCAGCATCTATGTGCACAGGGTAAAATCTCTGGGTACATATTACTTTGACGGGATCGTCACATTGGCCCCGTCCTAAATATCCAAGAGATCTAAAGGGTGTCACCCAGGATGGATTTTGAAAAGTGTTGGCGTTATATATGACATAGTTTACTACGTGCATAATTTTAAAATTATGGCAGATGTAATAAGTAAAAAAATATTTTTTTCTTAGTTTAAAATAAAAGTTCATTAAATGCATACATGTAACATGTTGGGTGAATAAATTTAGATCTCTTGGATCCTTAGCACATTGTGTTAATCCCGATGTGATGACTTGCATTTCTTGACGTAATCGACCCAACAAGCAATACTTGTTAAGGCATCGCGCTTGGCTCGCTATCATGCCCACATGCAAATGCAAGCAACATATGGTAAAAGTGGTGGGGAGTGTGTCGTGGAGGTAGTGACTAAGGAGCGGGCATGCAGTGGAGGTAGTGACTAAGGAGCGGGCATGTTAAAGGAATGGGTGTGTTGTGGATGAAGCGACACAAAGAATGGGTGTGTCGTGGATGAAGCGACACGAAGAATGGGTGTGTCGTGGAGGCAACAACCCAAAAAAAGGGTGTGTCGTTGAGGCAGTGACCCGAAAGGTTGAGTATATGTTGTGTGCAGTGACTCAAATGGGTGGGTAAGCCGTGGAGGCAATGACCCGAAGGGAGACCTACAAAAGTCTGATTCGACGTCGTAAAAAGAGAAGGTTAAGTAATTCTCATTGGGGAGAATTAAATTCCATCTAGGCTTGATATGCAAGTTGTTCGGTCACATGACGTGTAAATATGTGGGGTAAGCGCGTGAGGGCACAAATCTAAATGCACACAACTTCATACATACAAGTCATAGACATGCAAAATGCCATGCAAGGTAATCATGCGGAAGTGCACAAGTACATGATGCTAAGTGACATAAGGATGTTACGAAGCAAATATATAAAGTAATTTGTCATTGGGAGAAGAAAATACTCATCACGAGCATATGAGGGTATGTGCTCAATGGTGTGCATTAAGAGTGCAAGTGACGAATGTGCTGATGTAAAGTCATGCAATAAGTACTAATGCACATGCAAAATGCACACTATCCAAGTAGAATCAGTTGTTTAACCCGTTGGGTCAATTGGAGTGGTCAAAA